CCCACCCACACCCACACCCCCACCCACCCACCCACACACACACACACACACACACACACACACTCACACTCACACTCACACTCACACTCACACACACACACACACACACTCACACTCACACTCACATTCACACCCACACTCACACTCACACTCTTCCATACAGCAGGAGCTTCACCATTCTTATCGAGTCCGAAAAGTTCCGCGGCCAGACGAAGCTGAAGTGTCAGCGAATGGCACCGCTCTCAGCACTTCAATCTAGTAGTGCTTAGCTATGGAAACCCTTTCGTATGGTTGAAGCTCCCGTAGGGCATGCTCCAGACTCCAGACTGTCGATGTTGATCGAAAGGTGCAAGAAGTCATCCGTGAGGAGATCGCTCAATGGCATGCAGTGTCAATCCAGACAAAAGTGCCGGAGTGATGTCGCCAGAGGTGACAAGTTGAGGCATCCGTGATGCCACACACAGAATGTTCGGTGTCACAGCATCCATCCATCGATTGTGGCTGCATGCTTCGAAGTTAAATGACAGGCGAGTAATGATTAGCTCAGTGATAGCTTCTAGTGATTCTAGTGCTTGACACGTAACCAGAACGGCGTTGTGTTTGCACAACGCGCTGGCGCCTCCGAACGCCACGAAAGGAAGACCCGCAAAGCTTTGCCGAGCAAAAAGAGTGGCAATCCCATGCCTGCGAATACTACTCGTAGCAGGTTATCTTTGCCTGGGCAAAGGCCAAAGCTTTTTTGAAGGTCTGCCAACAGATCATGCCAGGTGTCCCACCAGACACCGATGTCTTGACATGTTGCTCTCACTTGTGATGTCGGGACTATGTTGCTTCTGTAGCTCACATGTTGCAAAGATGGTGTTGAAGAGATTTGTGCGAGGTCCCGGGTGGATGCCCTTCACGGACGGGGATTTCAGTTTTGGCAGATTTTCGATTGTCATCACTTGTGATGCAGGGGACGGGCGACACGGTGTACTCAGTAGATCCCAGTAGAAAACATACAAATGCATTCCAATTGTGTGTTTTCGCATGTTGCAGCCTGACCCAGTAGTCAAGCTTGGTATTTGATGTGCACAGTACCCCCTCATGGTGCGACCGAGAGTGCTGAAGCAGCCAGAGCCGCATGGGCTTCGCTAATGGGCTTTCAAGGGAGCGAAGCCTACACACTTGCAGCCGCTTGCACTTGAGAAGGACATGGAGATTGACGCGTCGAAGAAAGCCGGCGGCCTAAGCCATCCAGGCCTCACGACTGGTGCCGTCCAGCCGTCCTCGATCTAGCTATGGCTACGGCTACGACAAGGCTTTATATGACGGCCAGCAACGCTTTTGAGCTGTGCATTCGCAAGGTCATGGCCTTTCGGGAAGGCCACATGCAGAGGGAAGATCGCAGTTCCTTGGCCAACAACAGAATCCAAATCCAGTTTCATACGACGTGGGCTGTTCAGGTTACTGGCTTGGCCGTATCCGACCTATCCCTGGCAGCCAAAGTGTGGAACTTACTGGTTTGGCTAGCTGCAGCAATCGGACCTGTGTGTTGAATATTTTGAGATGGCAACATATGGCAACAGCTGCTTCGATGAGGGCTTACTTCTCGAGACACAACGAAATCAGAAATGAAGGTCGACTGCGTTTTTGCATATCGTATTGCACTTTCGAGCATCTGTCAACAACTTGACCCGGAGTTTCGGCAGATCGCGAGATCCTAGTGTGGTTGGTTAAACTTGCGACAAAGGTTGAACCTGAACCTGAATCTGAATTCCACTCATTCAGCAAGGCTCATCCCCTGGAAACCGCTATGAGGAGGAAGCACGGCTTCTGGATTCCCTAGGTGCCGCTGTGTGACTTTTCTGGGACGTGTATGGAGCTGAGTAGCTGCTCTAGTAATACCACGCCTGTCAGCAACTCAGAGTGCAAGGCTTTTCAGAGGGTGGAACGTCAATATCTTTTTGCCTACAGGTAGCTTGCCGTAGCCGTTTGGCCTAAGTGCATGGATGATGGAAAAGTCTTCTGACGATTGAAGTGCACGTAGCAGTAGGCCACTAGTGTGAAAATCATGGCTTCATACTGTAGCCCGCCGTGGAAGCTAAGAGCTGTAACAGGTCGAGGAACAGCATGAGTCCGTTCGCACTGAGGTGGCATCGAAGTGAAAGCTCTCATACCCAGCCAATCCAGCCAGCTGCAGCTTCGGATTCAGCCATCGAACACCCGTCCGAAGCGAACAAACAGACGCCACAGTGCGATGAGCCATGGTGCTGGGTGTTCTCGCAAATCATTGCTTCCCTCTTGTGCTGCTTTTGCAGAGTTCGCGGGAGCAGGAGTGGCCAGCGCTTGGTGGTGTAATTCGGGACATGCCTTCTCAGCGTAATTTCAATCCTTGAAATCAAGCATGGTGCGGCAGAAGCGAGTTGCAGCGCGCTGTCCTGAAGCTTCCTTCCAGTGGTGCTGGCAGAAACAGATTTCGCGGCACAGTTTTGGGCATCAACACCAAAGCTTATTCTCGTAATTCTTAGTTAACTCTCTGCAGGACCGTGCGTGCTTTTGCCCCATCCGCTTTGCAATTCAACTCTGCTGCAGGCTCGCAAGCATGCAAAGGTACCTGGCAGCAGGCACAGGTCGTTTTGTCAGTCTGACTCATTCCACCAATGAATAATCCTGACACTTCCGAGTTGTACCACCAAGATTCCCAGGCGATCACTTCGCAGCGAGCTGCTTCAGAGTCCCTTGGTGGTTTTTGGAGTTGGGACGTGTCGCAGATCTGCCCTTGTTTGCAAAAGCAGCCTCCACCAGCTTATCTAACTGTTGCCATACTGAAGACCGAGCCAAGCTGTCTCTGGGCTGAAGATGTTCGAGGATGGCTCGGCTGGAGTCCCATTGCTAGAGTTTGAGGGCTGAGGCAACGTGGGATGCGACGACGGGCATTTTTTGGCGCAGGTGGAAGCTTGCAATCCGGTTGCCGGCTCAGGATTAGCCTACCCACATGCTACAGATGAAGCCATCCCACTCCAGAGCAGGGAGGCCTTGCTTCACGTCGTGCTCCATGGCTGCAAACCTGTGAAGGGCAAGAGAGCCGAAATCAAGTGTGCAGGCATACCTCTTCGCAAGACCACACGTGGAGAGGTAAGTGTCCGCATTCACTCGCGCTGAGGACATTCCATCATATGCGACACATGCCACATCATGCCACCATTCATCGGTGTAGGTTCCGCCAGCCGACCAAAGACAGATTCGCTCGCGGAGGAAACCTGCGGAAACCGGGCGGGGTACTTTGAAGAAGAGCCGAGTTTGCGATGGAACTGCAAGCATGTTTTGGTGCAGAGCTGCCAAGAAACGAAAACCAAAGTTCGAGCAAGTGCGAAGAGAACACAGACAAATACAAAATCCTCTTGCAAGCATGAAACCTCCAAATCAGCCAGCTCAGAATCAAGTATCTTTTTTGCGAGCACAAACGACTGGGTGTGGACAAACTGCGACGCTTGCACAAAAGGAGTTTCGGACAACTTTCTCGCAATTTCCCAGAATGGAGCAGCATTTTGCAAGCCAGCCGCCTCGGACACAATCTGAGAGCATCATGTCTTTGTGAGGGTGTGCCGATATGCAGTGAAAACAGAATCCCAGATGGTTGTTTCGACAATTTAAGACTCCTTTGTCTGTGCCTATAGCTTGGCCCCACAGATGTGCCCGGATGTGCCCGAACTGAATCAACAAGACGGGACCCGCATGGGACAGTGAAGGACAGAATTGCTACGAATGACATGATGGCACGCACATCATCCCTCTACGCCTTGTGACAAAAATTGTCCTGTGTCAGGTTGCACGGCTTGGCATTTGTCCCTACAAATCGCACTTTTGTGCCCTTCAGCACGGCCCACCAGCAGGGCACAAGAAATGCAAGCAGCCCGAGACTGAGGAGCCATGGAAAGCCCTCGAAGGCTTTGTTAGAACCTGGTAGGAGAGCCTGGCACCGTAGTGGCCTGATCAGTAAAGCCGTTGGGCATTGAAGCCGCCATCGGAGTTTGTGGCTAGTCACTTGGCACCCTCAAGCTCGCCAGCCCCCAAAATGAAACGCCTCAGTACCCTCAGGTGCTTGCTTCGAAGGTTCGCAAAACAAGCCGAGGAAACCACAAAACCACCTCCAAATCAAGTACCTGATTTCGAAATTGGGTACTCTAGGCCGAAGCCTCCCATTTTCAGACAACCTGAAATTGTAAATGCAGGCTGAGGTAACGCTAAGGGTTCGTATAGAGCCGGTTCTTGTACAGGAAGTTCACTGCACCAGCAAACAAGGCAACTGTGCATGCACGCGCACACACTCTAAGTGCGTGCGTGCGTGCCTGTGTGTGAGTGAGTCTATGTGTGTGTGTGTGTGTGTGTGATTATTTATGTTACAAGGTGAAGTTTTTAAACAACAGTGGAGGGCGGCCAGAACTCGCTTTCTTAAAATGCGGCCCGGAGCCAACAGAGGCAGTATAAGATATCTGCTTAGGTAGTTAACACTCCGTATCTTCAAAAGCGTCACCGCATATGTCAGTGTACAGACACTTGTGTACATCATACACATTTGTATGTAGGCGTTTACTCCATGTGTTTACATGCACGGCTGTGCGTTGAGCAGAGAGAGAGAGGAACACTTGCCTGTCTCGGTTCGTCTCTGTGTGTGTGTGTGCACGTATGTACGTATGTGCACACACATGGTTATTTTAATATATATATATATATATATATATATATATATATATATTTATTTATTTATATATATGTATATAATATGTATGTGTATATATGCATATGTGTATATATGTATATACATATATTTGTTTATAACTATATCTACACACACACACATATATATATATATATATATATATATATTAGATAGATCGATAGGTAGATAGATGCAGACACTTCCATGAATTTGTGCATGCAGTCGTGTGTGTGCGTGCGTGCATGGGTGTGTGTGTGTGTGTGTGCCTGTGTGTGTGTGTGTGCGTTTGTGTGTGTGTGTGTGCATGTGTGTGCAAACATACATACATGCATGCATACGTTCGTACAGACCTACACATATATATATATATATATGTATATATATATATATATATATAAATGTATATAAGTAAATATACACATGCATCCATACAAACATGCTTGCATACAGACATACGTATGTATACACACACACACACGCACTTGCACGTGTGTATACATATATATATATATATACACACATACAGAAGTACATCTGTGCACATGTACCCATGTATATGTACTGTAAGTATAAGGGGCTGTATGCGCACATGTTTACGGATTACGTAGCTAAGCCTGCCGCATGATTCCGAAGTTTCCTGTCGTGGCTGCACCACTGTCTTGGGCCAAACCGGTGCCCCACAAGCTAATTAATGGAATTGGACTCGGCATTCATGCGCAAATGATGCTCCGGATCTGTTCAAAATCGAAGTTGACCACCTGCAAAACCTATTCCCAGGTGGGCTTTGATACAAGACTACCTTGGGGAGCCCCCGAAGATGCAGGCATCGGTGGTCCCAGCAGCATCCTGCAATAGCGCAGCTATGCGGGTAGTTGTCTCTCGCGCAAGTTGGCACAGCATCCAACGTGGTTGCGTCCAAAAATCTCCAAAATCGTAGGCTCTGCGAAATACGTAAACTTGCATCGACCACTTCAGGCGACAAGGCATTGTTTGTGTGGCCGTCAATGTGTGCAGGTTGTGACCTACGAAGTTGATCCGCGGCCCAGCTGGCAGGATACTTCTTGGAATGCAAAGACGCTGAAGTTTGCACAGCTCAGGTTCACCTGCAACCACACGGTGAAGCTTTGGGATCCTCGCTCGGGCAGGCCGCATGTCTTTCGTGCGACACGAGGCATCACCAGGCCAAGGCTATCTCGCACATGCTTGTTTCAGCACTGCAAAGTAGACTGCATGAGACGCACTGCCAGAACGTTTATTCTCAAGGTCTGCCTTTGGCGCAACTAAACAACGCATGGCTTGTGGCCTCATGTGCTTATAGCAGCAACATCCAAATAGCTGTTCAGTAGTATTGTATACCAGTAGCAGTAATCGCCACGCTATACTCGCAATTTCAGTGCTATCACAAACCCGCAGCTATAACGGCAATACTGCTTGTTAAGGACTAGTTTTGGTCGTCCTCATCGCAATGGGGTTTAGCAAAACGGAAACAGACCTGCTAAGTGACACCATTACCCCGCTTTCTTCAGCAGCATCAGGGTCATGAGAACGTTCAACATCCTTGTCACCGCCATCACCGCAACATGTGTTGAACGAGCACCCACGACATGTAGCAAGAAGGGATGAGCTCTTCTGCACGAATATATGTATATGCGTCTTCTGTAATGCTGTTGCCTTGCGCAAACAAGTATGTCTATGTGGACGTTGAAACGTACAGCTGCTTGTCTGTAGGCCTGTCCGTCTCTATGCTAGTGTGTAATTATTTGCATAGGCATATGCAAGTGCATAAGTACATGCACATCTACATGTATGTGAAGATGTACATGTATACGTCAATGTATATGAAAAGGTATATGTACATGTAAGTGTAAACGTGACAGACTTCAAGTATGTAAGTGTGTGTATGCATGCAGGCAGCTATACGTGCATGTGTTTGCACACCGAGTTATGCATGCATGGGTGCTATGCAACAGCTTCAGGTGTGGAGCTGCATTCTTTCAGCAAGCCGCCTGTGCCAGGGCTGGAACACGCTTCCTGACCGGCCATACGGACACGGTCCTCACAGTTGCGATGAAGGGAAACATCGTCATCAACTCAGCTGTGGTGCAGACTTTTCCTCGTCAATACTTGCACTGACAATCTTGGCCGCTTGTATAAATCTGCAGCGATCCTTGGACCATCGCTAATTACTGCAGGGTGCAAACACTGATGAACAGATCTACGATCGATGGTGTAGTTTCGTGAGATGAAGGGCAACGTAGGGATAAGCTTGGAAGTGCAAGCTGCCTCAATGTCAAACACGATCCCCCGCTTTTTTGTGGCTTATTGTGGCTTCCATCTTTGTTCTTGTCATTGACAACCCATCGGTTGCGATGCTGAGTCCTGGCCCGTTTTGTGGCACAGCGCTGCCGGTCACCGGTGACTAACGCCAAAAGACACGAACAGCAACAGCTTTTGCCCAAATCACTGTGGCCTGCAATGCTACATATGGTGGACGTTTTTTTATGAAAATTTCGTCCTGGTTTGTCGGACGTCCAAGCATTTCAGCGGTAAATGTGCTCTTTCACGAGGAACGACTTCGGAATTGATCTGAATGATGCCGCCAGACCTTGATGGTAAACCTCTGTACGTCATACATGATAAGTAAGAACACGGGGACACAACTTGGACGTTTCCCCCGTGCTTTAAGAAGTAGTGCGGCAGAAAACGGACCCCATTTGCATCTGTGCACATGCACCCGCACTGCGAGGTCCTTACGGGATCTTATGATTGCACTGCAAGGGCCTGGGATGCCTCACGAGGCTCGGAGTTGGTATGGTAGTGGGAGCTTTGCCACACGGTGCACGCAAGCCCCTCATACAGGCGTCTTGCTCAAGACGATCCTCTTCGACTGCTCCGTTACTGCAGTGGGTGGGGCACTCAATGGGAAGAAAGGCACTTACGACTCTGTTCGACTGGCCATAGTGCCACAGTATTCAGGCATTGAGCAGTCCACCATCATTTTGGGCGGCAGCAATGGTATGGCCGTGCTGGGAAAGATCACTGGGGACCGCACCAGTGTCGTTTAGACTAGATATGCAAGATGAGATATACCCAGCAAGCCGAAGCCAAAAGCCAAAAGCTTTGCGAGTCCAGATGCAGGAGCAGCCCGTGCTGCCTTACGGTCTTCTGGCAGTAGAGAGACTCAGAAAGCACAGACGGAGCAGTGTTCTGCTCGTGAAAGACTTACTTAAGCCGTAAACACATTCAAGCACGAATCCCATTTCGGTAATGCAGGTACGACCTAGTTGATCCCGAAAGACTGACAGGAATGAGCCGGTTGCTTTGGAGCACCGCTTCAGGCGTAAAGGGCTCGCTAAGCTAAGTACCACCCTTCATGACGTAATATCTGTCCGGCCACTGAAAGGACTGTTGGCCAAAGTAGCATCAGAACACGTGAGACCCTGTGAATGTGAATCGGCACGTACCTGTGTATAGAAACGACCATGCTCTACTGTACAGTAACAGTTGCGCATGTTGCGCCAGCAGCAAAGGAAGGCCGACTGTGCAACTCGGATGCAAGGGTGGTGACGAGGATGAGCCCGTGGAGATCGTCCTACTCTCTGGATTTCACGCTTTTGCCGTTGTTGGTTGTCAAAAGCCTCCTGATGTTCACACCTGCGCGGCTGCAACAGTGTATCGCTCGAACTCACTGCGACTGTGCCAGATCATGTGATTGGTGCAGTCAGCCAAGGTGCGCCTGGTTGGCCATTGCAAGGGAATAAGCTCAGTTCTTCTCCACGGCTGCATGGCAGTAACAGGACCCGACATGAAGGCGAGTGAGAGCTGACGATAATCCGGTCTTCTGGTATTTCTCACTGCCGAACGTCATGCTCCAGCTCGCAGGATCCAGTGACTGCACAGCACGAATCTGGAACACGGCTACCGGGCGTGTGAAGCACGTCCTCTCTGGACACAAACGCCATTTGGAATTAATTCTGCCTGCCGGTACGGTCTATGGTTGTGAACTGTGCGCAGTATCTGAATGCCAGTGTGTGCTTAGCGCTTGTTTGGACCAGTCGTTTTGTGTACGAAAACTCGAAGATTCTGAGGTCGAGTTGCCTCCGTGTCCATGCACCGGAACTTGCAGCTTTTGGCCGGAGGGGGTTTGGCAAAAATTGCAGATCCCTGTCAGTAGCTACGTAGCTGTTTAGCCTCAGCCATGCACTCCACCTTTCCCTTTATTTAACTTTATTTGCTGCATTGGGGTAGTAGTCAATACATCGAATGTTGGGAGTTAGGGTAGCAGTCCTAGGATCCCTCAGGGCTCGAGTACCAGCATCTGCTGCGCCAACAAAACGAAACACGATTAAGGTCTCCACACCAAGTACATGTGTCTAATCGCAGTGCAGCTGGAGTGAACTAGTCGCCTTGTTGCTCCGCTTGCCAAGAGCTTTGCTTGTGTGCCAGGCGACTGGGTCTATGGACGGCACTGCACGGCTGTGGAATTCTGAGCCAGGGCTTCGGCAAGTCCGGGTGGCTGCGGGGCGAAGGGACAATGGCTGCTTCTACAAGGAACACATGCTCGTTTGTGAAGCCTTGTCGCGTCAGATTCAGTGATTCGTCCTGGACGGCATAGCGTGATGAAGAGAGAGTGAGAAGGAGCCGTGGGAATCATTGATCTCGATACTTTCGTTTGAAGTTAGCCCAGCTGCCAGACTTTACTTGCAGCTCGCAACGGATTTGCAAGGTCCGGCATGCTCCTCGATGTAATCAGCTTCGCAACTCTGCCAGCTTCAGGACCTTCGAGGGGTTCTGTGATCCAGAACTTGCATGCTACTGGTAGTAGACAGAGGGCATCAGAGGGCCTTCCTGGCGGTCCGAAGGCTTCCATGAGTTCGCAGGGTTTGGTGCTTTGCACTGTGTCGCAATTCGAGCCTGTTCCGTGTGGTTTGATTGCTTCAATCGTAGCTCCCTCAGACGGAAGCTGTTTGCAACTATGTCCACGCAATATTCTGGAGCCTGGAGAGGCGTATTTTCATGCTTTTTGACATCGGACCCTGCGCCTTGGTTTTCGGCTGTGGGGAAGTCCGCTTTGATCCTTACAGATCTGCCACGAGTTTCTATGGAACTTGTCTAATAATTTCAGGTGGTGTCCTTGGCCATCGCCGGGGATTTTGTCGCTATGGGTTCAGGCCGTGGCGCCGTGCAGGCACGGGGTGCGAAGATCGGTCACTGGTTTGCAGCTTGCGGTAGTGTCCCCCAGGACCTTGAAGACCTGTCAAAGCTACATTGTCGCAGTTCGGGCCAAGCTTGCCCGGCCCGTTGCCAGGTCTGGAACCGTCGAACGAAGGAGCTCCAGGTACTTGCGAAAGGTGGCCTGGCTACACTGCTCGGTAAGCCAGGCAAGTAGCTGCTTCTTGCATCTTCTTGCCGAACATCCTGCCCACATTCGGCAATTACAGATACACATGGGCGCGATACTTCAAATTGTTCACGATTCAGTTCGATTCAGAATGCAGCTGCAGCCACACCTGACGAAGACCCGAGACTCCAAAGCGTCGAAGGCGAATATGGACTCCTGGGCTCCAGCGCTGCGGTCGCCGTGCAAAGTCATGGCTTGGTGGTCGCCGGTTTCAAGGCCAGTCGTGGGAGAGACGGGGGGAGGCCTATGCTCATGTTTCGTCAGGCTGGCCTGGCCAAGGCCTGGAATGTGAAGGGAGGAATGTCCCCATTCCTGCTGACATCAGGCTTTCATGCGCACGTTGCAAACCCTTCTTATGCCTTGATGTTGTAGCTGGACTTTACGCCGTGGGTTCTTATCCTGAGCTAACCATGAGATGGTTTGCACAGCTCAAGGAAGTGCCCCCATGCAGGGTTCGGAGCCCGGACTGCTTAACACATCTTACCACTGTCAGACTTCTTGTCTGCTGCTTTGTTTGGAAGCTTGACACACCTTGCTTCAAATTTGCAGCGTTGGTGCTCACATGCACTTGTCTGCGAGCTCGTCACAAGATGCAGTCATGTGAGCCGCATGGTTCATGAGTCTGTTGACACTTCTCATTACGAGATGCCCCTCTTCGCAGCTAGACCCATATGGTGCATCCTCACAGTTCGAGCCGCAGCCTCCCTAGCTGAATCGGACCTGGAAGGGGTCCAAAACCGCAGCCAGGCTTCCAGAGTCCCGCATGTTGCAGTTTTCGCCGCCCACGGCGCGGTACATCTTCCGTTCAAGCACGCAACGATGTCCATGCTCCTCAGGCTGACATGGTCGTTCATGGCCCTCACGAACATCTCATGCCTCGTCCTCCCTGTAAGATCCTGCAGCAAGCGGCCGAGAGGGATGCAGACATCGTAGCTTTGCCACGTAGGAGGTTTTCAATAGGAGTTGTGCAAAAGGCTTAGCCACAGCCGAAGCGCTTGAAGATCGAATTTATACGCGGCAGCCCAGCACGTCATCAGTTTGAAAAATAATGTACTAATGCCTGTCTCCGGAACTCTCTAGGGCTTCGGATGTGAGCGTGGCTCCAGCGTAGATTAAAGCTGACACAGCACTGTACACACGCACACACATGTTGGCGTTTCAAACTTGTAAAGGCTGCCTGGTGTGTGACTGCCGCTTCTTGTTCGAGCACTGCGCCACGGACATATATGTTAACCTTCCAGGGCTCTTTGCACAAAGAGATTCGAAGTGGATGCGCCCATGGAGACAGCAAAAGTGATTTTGTTCATGTGCAGACCACATACATCGAGGGACTGTAGTGAACTGAGTCATACAGCCCGGAAGCTATGTGAGCTTGCTTCTCCACTCGCACTTACAGGTAGGTCGTGAAGGAAACGGCATGCTCGAGAGAAACGGCCCTCAACCAGCAGCTAGGTCCTAGGTCAACACCGAGGATTGTTTCCCCAGACTCCTCGTCTTCTTACCTGCTCGATGCAGCAGATCTATCTGTACAGAGACCGAGCGACGACTGCTTCTGAAAAGGAATGACTGCTTGGTATCATGTACATGAGACATCCGAGCAAACGAAGAACCTCAGGTTCAGCAGCATGGATAGACTTGAGTTTTTGTCGGTGCACAGACAAGTACTGGGTTCGGTGTTCAGCATGCGGCTGAACTGAAGAAGGGAGCAACCAACTAGAACGAAACATCGCTGCTAGGTGCCGATGACGTGCAGCTGGCTTGGCGGAGCTTGGGAGGCTCCGACTCGCGGCAGTCGTGGTTTGCAGCGGTGCAGAAGTAGCGTCACACCAAATATCAAAGCTCTGGAGCACACTGCCTAGAAGCGTGACGAGATGTTGCCAGTTCGGGGGGAGTGTGGCAGTTGTTGCCGACGCCTTGCACACGCATGCACGGACAAACAGACAAGCAAGCAAGACAACATCCAATCAAGCAAAGCCAATCTAAACGATTAACAACGAACAAAACGATCGATCAACAACAGACAAACACAACAAACACACCAACAACCAAGCACACCAGCAATAAGCGCTCAAACAAACACACAAACAAAGAAGCAAAGACAGGAACACAGAAACACATACACACACACACACACTTACTTACTTAGGCTCGGCACTATTAACTGCGACGAAGACAGACAGGATGAGAAGATGAAAGACAAAAGAGCGGGACATCATATGATGACACCGTTTGGTGCGTAAGTATGCCAGACCCCAGGAATGGCATGCAAAAATGATCCGTTGGGGTATGTTCGGTTCTGCCCTTGTGTGCCCGACGCGAGGAAAGGCACACCAAATGAGATGAAGAGTGCATCCCCCCCAAGCAGGTAAGTTTTCCTGAAGTGCGCAGGAGAGCTTCGTTGGACTCCACTCCCCCCCGGTTCCCCTGCCTTTGAGATTGCTCAGCAGATCTCTAGCTCACCATAGAATGACGCCATGTCGAGGGGCTTTCACACGGACACATACGCAGAGACAACACGCACACACACACAGAGACAGCCACACACGCACACACGTTTGCGCACACATGCTCTCTCGCTCTCATCTGAAATTGTGAGTCAGTTTCAGGGTTTTCGAGGATAATTTCGGTGCGGAGTTTCGGAGCGGAGTTGCGTCAGTTTGAGGCCCAGGCATGCAAGAATCGGACTGAAACTGCCCACATTCCCCCCCCCCCTCCCGAAACTGACAGACCCGCGTCCCGAGGCTGACTCCCGCAGTGCCGAAACTGGGCGCCGAAACTGTCTGGCTTTGATCCGAAATCCCCCGGCAGCCGATCCGAAACCAGAATCCCGAAACTATGGGCGGCCCTGACAGGAAGGAAGTTGTGAGTGCAAGTCAAGCGGGGCCCTTTTTGACATGTATACATCCTGCAAATGCGCATGCCTCCTACCTCGAGCCGAGCAAAGCGAAGGGAGAAGGAGCGGGAATGTGAGAGACATGTACTCGTATCTACTTACTTATATACAATATAATAGTATATTCTGTTATAGTATGTTCTATTATATATATATATACAAATAAGTATATGATCACCACTTGTCACCTGCAATGCAGTCGCCAGACAGCCAAGCGGGAGCCAAAAAAAAGTATATGATCATATATGTGTACATGTTGAGGTGTGAGGCTAATTTGTATACATTTTTGCACAAACAGATACAGAAGAATGTTACGTGTATGTAAACATGTAAGTGCATGCATGAACTGCATGCGCTGCAATGCTCCGGGATCCCTCAGCTTCACGTGTTTGACTCGAGGCCTTGACGATCCCTTCATCGTCCTCACAACCGCCGGTACGCCAGAAGCTTAAGAAACTTTATCGGATTGACTTGGATGTCTGAAAATATACCTTTATAATCATGTGAGGAGTTTAGATCCTGTTGAAGTCCGCACCCATTAGTGGAAGACACCGTGTTTGGAGTTACCGCAAGCCGAGATGGCTACTGATGTGACGGAAGAAAGCGCGTCAGCGATCCTGCCTAGAGCTTGCCGCAAACGAGGCCAGAAGTGGCAGCAGCCTTGCACCCACACGAACTTCCTGCCGTGGTCTCACACAACTGTGTGTTCCTCTGCGTGGGTGGCCCTGCCAGCAGTGCACAGTTTTGTATATTACATGTCGCCGACGACTGCGTGAGCGGTTTTGTCAGCCTTGTGCTCAGCGACATGTGCATACAATCCGGATTTCCCGTGCCGTCAGGTTGTGGAGCACAGCATGGGCCCCGGTGCAGAGCGATCTGAGTCCCGAGGCTGTCGGGCATGTGATGGTGGCAGTGTCCTACTGAGCAGAAGATGTCCCAAAGTAGGGGCTCAAACCAAAGTGTTTTTACCAGAAAGCGATGAGGCACACAAGATTTCGAGGTCACACCACATGCTGGGGGCATCGACGCACGGGTTCACGCAGCCCTCCATCATGCAGCTGCTACCATTGTGACTGTGAGCAAAGCTTTTCGCCATGACGTGGCTGATGCACTTCGCTTACGCTACGGCGCTTTGTCTGCCAGTTTCTGGAGAGACTTGGACATTCAAGCCGGAGTGTGGCTTGGCTGTTTTCAGACCTGACAGAGGTCTACCGACGATTTTCTGCAGTAACAAGGGGATCGATTTTTAAGATTCCCCTAAACTTAGTCCTTCACCGGACTTTGCTTGTTTCTCGGGGGCCGTCTCGGCCAACTGTCCGCCATTTTCCGTTCTTGCCAGAAACAGCAAAGTTTTCAATGACCCTTTGGATCATGTTCATGGAGTCGAAATCGGGTTTCGCAAAGTCCCTCCGCTAGTGGTAACAATGCCAGTCGCATCTCGTTGCAGCCTTCCAGCCGTTGGTTTGCTAGAGTTGCCTGGAGAAAGTTTCATTTCGTTGAGTGGGCTTCGGGTTCCAGAATTGATGGTCGTCTGTACGGCAAGGTTCCGTACTCCCGTTGAGCTTCCGCCCACGACCTTGCGGCCCAGTCTACAGTTGTCCGATTACACAGCTGTACTTGTGGCTGCCTCTTTGTCGCTCCGGCCGAACTCACTGTGATGACGCTTGGGCAACGTTTCCTGCTCCGTTCTTTGCCGGCCTTTCTGCCGTCGAGGCCCGGATCTCCAGCATGTCTGGTCTAGTTTTCAGCGCCATGAGGATGGCCGCTTGCGAGTTTCTTTCCCTGCCCTCTTGAAAAACGTCTTGGTTGCTTTATCCTGGCATGTGTCTTACAGGAGGCACATCTTGCAATGAAGGGTGGTATTGCTTCCTTCTGTTACACTCTGGCTTGCATTGCACATGGCTTCTTTTATTCGTTTCGGGATGTTCGATATTTAATTTTCCCCTAGGTGCCTCTCGGATCGCCAGGCTTAGCGCTGATTGTCTGCGCTCTTATGCTGTAGTGCGGTTGCTTGGGTTTAATCCCCTTTGGTAACATCACTTGCAGTGAGCAAGTTAATGAATCGGATGGGGGAGGCAGATACGACCCATTCACACCCAGACCTCCGCAAGTCTTCCAAGTAAACACCACATGAACGGAAGTGGGCGCAGAAGTCATTGGCTTTGGTACTCCCGTTTTTCGTTGACGCAGATGCAGTCACCTGAAGATGGGGCTTCAGTGGATGTGGTTCTTGAGCCGAGAAACCGAGGAGTATTGTTGTTGACTGCATTAGCCAGTTGGACTGATTCCTTTTGAATGCTGTCTTGGTCGTCTTCTTCTTGTAGCAGTAAGGATTACGTACGTGCACCACACACTTGTCGTATTAGACTCTTGCACCGAGGTCAGGGCGATGACTGCGAAGCTAAGCGGCAAATTTACTTCAACAAGAATTGTGCAACTCGCAGCTAGTGACTAGTATCACTCTTGCAGCTGTGGCTTGTTGTTTCCTGTTCCTGTGGCCTGTCGGGCATCTAGGTTTCGCATCGGTTTAAATGAAGTCAGGTCATGGAGCCCCCTCGTGCTGCAGATGCTCCGACTAAGCATATATCAGAAACTGGTGGCTGGGGTTTCAGTTACGGACCTTTGCCGACTCGAGATCCGGGCAGCTTGGACTTGGACAAGCCGGCACGGAGCACGCAAACTTGTAGTTGAACGGATTTCGGCCTGTGGCTGCCCTGATTCACTCGTTCCGGCTGTGTTGTGACCGAGCCGGATTCGTAGGTGCAGCTGCCATGAAGTTTTCGGCTGGCATGGTACGTCGCACGTGCAGGGAATATTTCTCGTAGCTCGCCTATCGGAAACCCTTTCGCAAACATGTGCAACAGACACCCATTCGTGCTTTGGTCAGGTGCTTTCCCCAATGACGACATGATGACAGAGGCTATTCAAGGCCAATGGGGTCTTGGTGGTCGAGACGACTCTAGGACTGAATGCGGATTGCTGGTGGCACGAATTTGTGTGGATCGCCCATAGCCACAAGCATGCCGAGCGCTCTGTCTCGGGATCCGTTGTCACAAGGCAAGTTCCGGGTGTTGTGGTGGTTGTCGTTGTGGTTGTCGAGCGCAACCGCACGGCCTGTTTCAGAGCAGGCAAGTTTCAGGCATCGGCAATGGATGAAGCAAGATGTGCAAACTGGTGCGAGCAAGTAGGACCCAGTGGCGGTAAGGACCTAGCGATAATCGCGCGAATGGGGGCCAAGATGGTGCGCCTGTATGGGAACGACCCACGGTTCGACGGCAAAAAGTTTCTGGACTACGCGAACAGATGGGGCCTGAAGGTCGTGGCTGGCATATCAGACTACCCGTACGAGCATGGGCCTGGCAAGTGCTGGAACAATGCAGCTCGTCCGCAAGAACAGTCGGGTCTACTGACATCTACTGACTACCGATGAGGTGCCTCCAAGGCATGGTGTTGGCAGCAATGCCCTTGCCGGTCCTAGGATCTGCTCGAAAGAAGCTACGCGCCGGCCGATTTGTAGACTATTTGTGGCATGGGTGGGGTCCTGTCATTCAGGACCTGAACTGCTATGAAGCCATTCGCGAGTCCTACAGCGCCACACTGGCGAACAAGAGCTTCGTGACTCATGGCAAGTATCACCCTGCCCTGGATACCCTGGCACCAAAGCTGCAGAAAAAGAACTTAGCAAGGGGGCTGGTAGGATTGAAAAGGAATTCGCAGCTTCGATTTTTGACCAGAACCCATGAACGTAACACGACGTGAACACTGAGCAGCACAATCGGAGCAAAAGCGGGGAGTGTCAGCATAAACTCATAAAACCTTTGACCTGGAACTGTCACCCTTGTACCATGATGCTCAGAGTGTCGCCCTCGGCGGGTTCAAGCGTGCCAAGCCTGGACAAAAATGCGGAAGGAGCTTGAGCCCGCACGTCGCGTTGCAAACGACATGGTTGGGGCTAGGGTTTCTGTGGCGTTTCGGGTTCCGTTCATGTTCAGGGCTATGCCAGGAAGTACTGTGTGTATATATGGATGAGGCATGGCATAAAACGAGCCATCTAGATTCATGTGCACATCTACCTACCTGTCGACCCCTACTGACCCACCTACCTCCATATCTACCGACCGATCTACGGATCTACCTGCCTGCCCACATGCATACATCTAACACACTTCGCACTTTGGAGTGGCAAAAAGCCTTTCAGGCCAGGGCTGCAGCGTCAGAGACCCTGAACCCCAAACTTCAGATCTTTGTCAGCCGAGGTTCTCACAAACGAGCCTGACCTCAAGTTTTTTGGAAAATCAGGCGTCTGCTGAGCAGCAGCATGTGCGCGACATGTGCGCATTTATTTCTGAAAGGGCCTGCACAATTCCATTCTGTGTTTGGCATGTGTAATCTTGGCTCATGTCTTGCCGGATGTCGCAGTTGCCGTGTAATAAACGGGAACACATAGTTACCTGTGTATACGACATTTAGCAGCGTGCATGCAGACCTTCCCGTCTCCAGGCGGAAACTACATGAAGGCAGTGCTCAGCGCCTTTGACGGTGTACTGGCTGCCGAGAAGGCGATAGGATTGAATGTCACTTCCCCTGAATCTCGGCCGGAAGAGCTGGCAGATATTAACAATCCGTGTATGTATGTATTTATGACCTCTATACATAAATAGATACAAAATGCATATAAATATATATATATATATATATATATGTGTATATGTATATATATATATATATATGTGTGTATATATATATATATATATGTATGGTCGCTCCCCCTTTAACAGACCATGCCGTTTCAACTCAGTCGTAGTGCATGGTTTGTCATCGGGGGGAGGGGGCACTCAGCCCTCAAAAACTCAATTTCAATATTTCCAAAATTCGGAGCGGCACCAAGACAGACATGAGCAATCACATGGTCGAGGTTGGTCGGGGGGGGGAGGGTACCATATATATATATATATATATATATATGTATATATATATATATATTTTTTTTTGCTTTTGCTTGTATACCATGCTATGTGTGGTGTGTGCGTACATGTAGCTATGTATATGTTTCTCTATTATCTTGTGCTGTAAGGTTCCACGAGAGGATTGAACATAATTGTAGCCCAAAGTAATATGCATAACGAAGCGTGAGGCAGCATTATATTTTAAAGCATTCCATAATACAGTTACATTTGCAGAAGATAAAGCATATACTGGCCAGTAGATAATGGCGAACATATGTATGCACAATAGATGCGTTGCATGTCATTGCATATAGCATGCGTCATATGTTGCATTCCATATAGCATGTGCGATGTAGCACATAGTATCGAATGTACATCGTATAAGAGACTATGGGCCAATATCAGACTTTGTACATGTACACACATATAGTAATCTATCTACATATATACACACACTATATACACACATATTCATATATATAAATAAACACATACCTACATATATGTATATATATATGTATATGTATATGTATATGTATATGTATATGTATATGTATATGTATATGTATATGTATATGTATATGTATATGTATATATATGTATATGTATATGTGTATGTATGTATGTATGGATGGATGGATGGATAGATGGGATGGGATGGGATGGGATGGGTGGATGGATGGATGGATAGAGAGAGAGAGAGAGAGAGAGAGAGAGAGAGAGAGAGAGAGAGAGAGAGAGAGAGAGAGAGAGAAGCCATTCTATTGTTTACCTCTGTAAATTCCTTGTGTGTACCATTTGCTGCAACTCTTCTTGGGGGATTGTAGCGATATTTTTACTGCGCAGTGCAAGGTCCCAATGGTTTATCATGGTATTGGTAGGTGTTACTTACTGTTGCTGTTTCTGTTTGGTTGTCAACGGTGATGTTTACATTACCTTGCCTGCAAGTAGCCAGTTCTTTGCGTCTCAAAAGAGGAGCCCCTGTCAAACCTTGACTTGCAGCTTTCAGCGGGGGAATTCGTAACTGAGGGGACCGAATTTCCTACGAGCTGCTATGTCCGAAACGATTTTATCCTTCCTAAAGCAGCCGGGGGATTCGGTGACCATGCACGTGTCCGTGGAGAGTATACGACCATCTCTGATTCGTTATCGCATACTATATGACCTTAGTCTTGAGATGGGATATGCTCGTTTTTCACGCCCCCGAAACCTGAAAACACTTCGGGTGGGCAAGATGCCCGGGGGCCCTGACCGGTCCCTATGCCCGAGTGAGAGAGAGAGAGAGAGAGAGAGAGAGAGAGAAGCCATTTTGGCTCAAGGCCGCGAGTGGTTCAAGGCCCGAGCCCCGGAGTGAGACAGCAGAGGAGGGCCTCTAAACCTGAGCCGTGAGGGGGAGTGAACGTGCTTGCCCCCGCCATTCAAGCACACGGGCACGGTCGCAGACCTACGCGTGTTCTCCAACCTCGCCCGGACGTAGTGGAGTACGAGCTCAAGGGTATCTGTGCGCCGCTCTTTCTGCCGAAGCCCAGCCCTCGGCGTCTACACAATCGGCGATCCTACAGGCGCCCTACCTTGCCAAACCGATCAGCCGCAAGACCGCCTTGGGAGATACACTACCAGGGGTACCTGTCCGTGATACTACTTGCAGCCAGGCGACGTAGCCTAGCACGCGGGGGAGAACAACATGGCGACAGGAGCAGGCCTGGAAATGCAGGTCGACCACCAGGGGGCCTCCCCTACCAAGAGACGGGCGCCAGACAAGCCAGACGACTTGGCACTGAACATTGACATTAATCGGGAAGCTATCCGGGGGGAGCTCAAGGAGGCCCTCTCCGACGTCAAGCAAGACATACGCTCCTTTGCTACCAGGGTAGACAACGTCGAGAGCCATGAGACCAAGAAGATGCAGCAAACCATCAACCTTTTGGACGATATGACCACCAAGTACACAGCCCACGGGGACATGCTGCAACAGCTCCAAGAAGCCAACAGAGAGGTGAACCTCCGACTTGAGCGGCTCGAAAAGGGGGGAGGAGCCTCGTCTGTGGCGGGGAGTACAGCAGCTTCCGACAACTCCCGAAAGCCCGCATTGATCATCGGGGGATGGGATCGAGACCAGGACGCTGCAACGACAAAGGAGGCTGTGGAGGACGTCCTCAAGTCAGTGAACGCACCCATCGCCCTGGATCCTCTCTTTGTCCCTGGCGTCCGACGGCATACGCCATCCTTCCTATCGATGAACGCATGGGGGAGCCTTTTCAGCAGCGCAAGCAGCGCATTCAGGAGGTCATTGCGAAGGTCAGGGACGCAAACATCCAGTTGGGGCGTCGACCAGACGGGGGGACAAGGCGAGTCTGGATTGCAATGTCGCAGCCTCCCGACCGACGGCGCCGAGCACGCCTTGCCACTAAAGTGAAGCGCCTGTACCTCACCATGGGGGGGAACAAAGACGCACTCCAAATGGAGTTCAGTACTGGCACCGCCATGGGTGAACAGCGTCAAGGTCAGCTCTGCCACTGCCCCAAAACCCGGGGGAGCGGAAGACGCTGGCCCGGGATGGATCAACTTGACCGAGATAGCCAAGGCGACAAGGACCACCGCAGATGCAGTTTCCGTGGCCTGGTCTCCGCTTTAAGGCGGAGACCAACTGAACCACGGGGGAGCCAGAGACGTTTCACCCCCAGGCCGAGGGGGGGCAAAGACTCGGCCAGCTCTGGGCCATGACGTGGACTCACGGCAGACAAGCTCCTAGACACCTTCGACGACAGCCCGGACCTGCACTGCGTCACTGCTGTCCTGCTGCAGGAAATTATCTGCGAGCCAGGCCTTTTTCAAGCTGAGACAGACACATGGCAAGTAGTTTACGGCAAATGCGAGGGAGAGTTCCGAGGCGAAGGGGTGGCACACACCACCACAGCCAAGTAACTACAGGCGGGGTGACCACCACATTAAGAGCCACCGCAGACAAAGGAACGATCAGAGCACTGGCGGCGGGACACATCCCGCACCACGCCACGATCCAGCAAACACAGAATGGGCCTTGATGCCAACGAGACCTTCACCCCTCCTCTCACGAACGTGCCAGGCTGCTACGCAACCTCGGGCCGGGGGGAAACGCTGCTTGAGTGGGCTAGCTCGCACAGCCTCACCCTTCCACCGCAACAGCTCCACATCCCGAGCTACCACCCTTACAACCAAATCATGCAACCGCGCCGCCTGGACTACATCCTGGTCAAGGGGATAACTGCAGGAGCCGGGAAGGTCGTTCTTTGCCGTGACAGAGCCTCCTCTGACCACGACGGGGTTGCAGCACCCGTCGGCGCACACAAAGGGGGAGGCTCAGCCCGCACCACGTGGGGACCCCGACGGCTCCGACCACCCCACCAAGTCGAGCAGCTCCTAGCCGTCCCACCCCCGAGGGGAGAGGACCCACACTCGCCACACTGGCCAAAGCCATTACGGTCCCGGGCAGTGGGCACAACAAGTTTCAGGAAAGCGCCGAGCTTGGGGGGATGCGCCAAGCAGCCCAACGTTGCTCACAGGCCCCGCAGCCAGATCGGCATGGAAGGCCATAGCCAAACGGCACAAACAAGAGCACCGCGCTTGGAGCACCAAGCAGGCCGAACAGGCCTCGCAACTGGACTGGAAGTCACTACGCACCCTCCAAAAAGCCAGAACGCACCGTGGCTGGCAACTCCGCCTCCAAGACAACCCAGACTGGCAGACGCATCTGCGCAAGCATATGCGCTCCATCTTTGCCATACCCGTCCCGCCTCGCGGGAGCGCGCGCATCGCCACTCTACGTGACCAGCTCCGACGCAGATGCAAGCACACACCATGGCAGCCTTTCCACATCGCAGAACTTCAGCTGGCCGCCAAACGCTGGGGGAGCAACAAAAGCACCGGTCCCGACGGCATCTCCCACGAAGCAGCCAAAGCACTGCTTGCCCACGACAAATGGGGGGGACTATCACGTATGTGATGAACGATATGCTCTACACGGCAAGAGTCCCCGAAACCATTGATCGGGGGATTACGGTGCTATTGCCCAAAGTCCCCACACCACTCGAATGGACCGACACACGTCCAATCACGCTAAGCAGGACATTGCTCAAGCTTGCAGCACAACTCCTTCTTGCGCGGGGGGGAGCAAGCATCAGGGGGGAGGCCACCTTGCAGTGGGCCCGGCATGGCAGGCAATGGGTGGAACTTGTGGCAACAATCAGACGCGTGACGCAAATGGCAAAAGACTGGGGCGTGCCTACATGGCTCGTCAAACAAGCCTTCGCCAAACACAAAAACATCCTCCTAGCACGCACAGGCATGAAGGCGAGGATGGCAGCGTACACCACCTTGGTGCGTTCCGCAGCACTCTACGCAGCCGAAACGTGGCCCGTCAACCAATGCCTACTCAAAGCAGCCAACTCCCTGCAAGCACAGCACCTTAGGCGAATGCTCCATATCGAGAGAAGGCCGACTGAACCGTGGGCCGACTGGCACGTTCGATCCCTCCGATAATGGCACGCCTTCAACTCCAGAGAGGGGGGTGGCACCGCTGGTCTACCTACATCCTGCAGCAGGTGTGGTCCTTGTGGGGACATATGGCCAGAGGAGGGGGCGAGGTTAATGCCATGGTGCAGTGGAAAAACATCGACTTTTGGCGCAAAGAGCAACGCAAGCCACGCAACAGCAGAGTCAACCACGCAGCCCGCTTCAACCCAGAAGCAGACGTGGAGAGAGCCTTGGAGAGCGTCGGGGGCACACGTTGGGGGGAGATGGCCCAGGACACACAGTGTGCGGCCTCCCACGAAGCTGGAGTCAGGAGCTCGGCAAAGAGTTGAGTGCCGAGTGAGCCGGAGTACAGATGAGGCGCGTTGGGGGAAGTTGCCATTAGTGGTGTTTTATAAGGGGATTTATGCCAGTCCGGGGCTAACCGGGTCCTTTCCGTTATGGAACCGGGTCCTAGGATTTATGTTGCTGACATGAGTGACATGTAAGAACACGTGTATATAGGACATGTGTTGCTGACATGATGGACATGTAAGAACACGTGTATATAGGACACGTGTTGCTGACATGATGGACATGCAAGAACACGTGTGATGGACATGTAAGAACACGTGTATATAGGACACTTGTTGCTGACATGATGGACATGTCAGAACACGTGTATATAGGACACGTAAAGCAACATGTCTGATGTCGTGCTGAAGGGGGGGGGCAGGACGGAAAACAAATGCAACTACTGCAGCAACATTGGGCCTACGTCATGTGTGTTCTTGTGGCTCTATGGAAAGAGCGAGATGCTGGACATGTATAAAAAGATGTGTGCTTGTGGCTCAATAGAAAAATCAATGCCTGAAAAACTTGGTTTGTTCGAAATGTGAAAACATGTACATCGAAAAATCAAAGCCATACTGACATAATTGCCTGTCCCAAGTTTTGTAGTTCACATGGAATTTCTTTGTTGCAAGATATTTTTGAAGTTATTTTGAAGATTCGTTTGTGCCGAGCAAACCAAACAAATGCAACTTGGTGTTCTTGTGGCTCAACGAAAACAAGAAGCTTGAGATTTTGTGTTCTGAAACCCTAAAGTCAGCTTTTTGTACGATTCACAACGACTTGAAAATTAGTGTGTGTGTGTTCATGATTAAACATGAAGGGAATCTAAGCTTTCGTAACGTCCAGCTCATGCCCTAAACCCTGGACCCTAAACTGTAATCCCACCCAACCCCCAAACCCGCCCACCCACTCCTGCAGGTAGGTATAGATAAGTAGATAGGCAGGAGGGAGGTACTTGTAGGTCTAGGTGCACCGGCAGGCTTCCAGGTCTCTAGATAGCTAGGTAGGCGGGCATGTAGGTAAGGAGGCATTGATCAGGAAAGAAGTTTAAAGGTAGCAGGCAAAAGTAGTTGTAATTAGGCATTCGCGCAGGCTCTGTCAGGATGTCAGGTCGCCACATCAGAGGTCTTCGGAGCCCCGTGCAGGGGCGTACCCGCACCAAGCCCTTGAAGGGGCTGCGGGATGAACCCCGAATAGGGGTGAGCTTGGACCCCGAACAGGGGTCGTCGGAGCCCCGTACAGGGGTGTGGATGAACCCCGAAAAGGGGTGAGCCTGGACCCCGAACAGGGGTCGTGAGAACCCCGTGCAGGGGTGTGGATGAACCCCGAACAGGGGTGAGCTTGGACCCCGAACAGGGGTCGTTAGAGCCCCGCACAGGGGCGTCCGATGAACCCCGAAAAGGGTGAGCCTGGACCCTGAACAGGGGTCGTGAGAACCCCATGCAGGGGTGTGGATGAACCCCGAACAGGGGTGAGGATGAACCCCGAGCAGGGGTGAGCCGGATCCTCAAAGACAGATGCAGAGAGAAAGAGAGAGAGAGAGAGAGAGAGAGAGAGAGACAGCGAAAATAATTAACGAAGCAAGGAAGGAAGCAAGGAAGGAAGGAAGGAAGCAGGGAAGGAAGCAGGGAAGGAAGAAGGAATGATCAAGATGAGGGTGTGACTGTAGATGCGAGGAATGAGCAGGCAGCAAGGAGTGATGTGAGGGAAGGAAGAGGCAGGAAAGTCATGCATGGATTCAGTATCTCTCTGCTCACTTTCCGTCTGTCGCCGGCCAACCAGGCTGAGACAGTCTGCGCATCGAGATCCTCGAAGAGCCCCGGCCTAAGCCACACCAAGACTTGACTGCTGCACCGTCGGTTGCTTCCAAGCTCAACATGTTGGACTGCAGCAGCTTTTCATCTCAAGATTCAAGGAAATCGCACCGTTTTTTCTTGGCGCCACTAGCGCCATGACTGAGCAAGTGTACACCGACGCGGAATGGGCGGCTTGGCGTCGAAGTCAAAACCCTGCAGGAAGCCACGACGACACAGAGACGGACCCAACGAAGCAAGGCTTCACAAAGGAACTCCGACCCCTTCCGGATGAATGGAAAGTTGAGTGGAAGAAAGCTGAGAAGAACAAGCAGCACTCAGCCAATGACTTCAGCGGTATCAGGCGCCTCTGCAACAGAAGGTTGCAACAGATGTACAACCAATGGAAGAATGAGGTGGAGCTCACGGAGAAGCAGGATTCGGCTATCAACAAGCTCGCCATCTTGACGCATAACAAGGACCGCATGGAAATCGATCGCTTGAGGGAGGTTGAGAAGGAAGCGATTTGGACGAAGAAAATGTACGAGACGAAGATTGCGGACGACAATAAGAAGCACGAGGCCGAACTGGCAGCTGTAAAGAAGAAAGGCGAGGACATGCTGGACGAACTGGAGAACACGCATGAGAGAAACAACCAGGAAAGGGCTAAGAGGCTGTCCATCACGGAAGATACGTACAGGTACAAGTTCGAGGATAGCCAGAAGGAGATGAAGGTACTGACTGCCATGTATGAGAACAAAATCAAAGAGATGAACGCCGAGCACCAGGCACAGATGGCGAAAGAGAAAGAAGAGAACAAGAAAAAGTTCGACGAGAAGGTTTCCAAAGCCCAGACGGACATGACAAACAAGTTCAAGAGCAGGTTGAAGAGGCTCGAGGATGCACAGGTCAAGTACAAAGAGAAAGTCCTCACTGCAACGGGGCTTTGGAGACAGACACTGGCAAGGAAAGAGGATGAGGTCCTGCGGCTCCGGCTACG